TAATGGGAAAAGCGTTAATGGATGTGGGTGAAAAGTCATTGTTAAGTAGAGCAGAGCTGTGTGTGTGTGTGTGTGTATGTCTGTTTGTGTGTGCGATTGGGTGTATGGGGGTTTGCATAGGCCTAAGATCGGGAACAATGTCTCTTGTGGTGCAAGCTATAATGAGCCCATCGGCGTGACTGATCCACTAACCATTTAAGCTTAGCTTAACCATTGTCTCCTTTTTGTTCATCCTTTTCAATATTTGGGGCCCACATGTTTCTCCCCAAGTGACCAGGATAGGTGGCTTCCAATCCAGTTTAATAAACACACCGCAGTCAATCGGTGGTCTGTAATGGGAGGGGGGGTCGGAAAAGTCAAAATGGCATCTGGAGTGGGGCAATGGATGCCGCTCCCCCCTCTTTTTTTTAACATGGGACACCCTCGTCCCCTTGCAGCTAGACTACCGTAATGCACTGCACGCAGGGCTGCCGTTGAAGGTGACTCAGACGCTACGGTCAGTCCACAATGCTGCAGCCCATCAGTACACTGGGAAAAGCAGATTTTGCCATCTGACGCTGATGGTCTGGTGCACTGTTTCTCAACTGTGGGAACTTTGAGATGAGCATGGCTGGCTGGGGAATTCTGGGAGTTGAAGTCCACCCATCTTAAAGTTCCCAAGGTTGAGAAACACTGCTCTGGTGGATGCATCGTTTATCAGTGTGTGGTCCAATTCAAAGGACCGATTTAAAGTCCTACATGCTCAGAGTCTACATGCAAGATTTGGATGTCCCATGCGCTCTTCAAGGGAAGACGTACTCCCCCCCCACCTGTGGGGCCTGACAATGCTTTCTCAGTAGCCCCACCCACACACACACACCTTGTCTCCCAATGTATAGAGCTCCCCCACTCTCCGTCCGGGGCTGTCTGCAGGGTGTGGTCAAAAAAGTCAAGATGGCAGCTGCAACAGTGCGGTGGAAGCTCCATCAATTTTTTATGTGCGATGCATCTTCACTTGTTGGATCACATCCTGCAGACCCGCCTACCCATGTCCTCGAAGCTAGCTATCCTGCACAGCATTTGGGCAGTACAGGTAGACCTTGTTTAGTGACTACCCCGGTTAGTGACTGTTCGCAGTTACGATGGTGATGAAACTTTATGACCATTCCTCGCATTTATGACCTTTGCAAGTCTGTAAAGTAAAGGAAAGCTGAAGGAAGATTGTAAGCACAGTCACAGTTTCACTTAGTCACTGCTTCGCTGAACAACCAAGTTGCTGGTCCCAATTGTGGTACCTGTAATGGTGTTAGAGCTACCTCAGTTAGTCAGTGTTGTCTTTGTTTTATTGTATGATGTGAATTTTGCTAAATGGATGGATTTTATTTGGTAGTAAACCGCCTGGAGTCCAAGTGGCAGTTTATCCAGTTTTCTGTAAATAAATGAACAGAAACGTAAACCACCCAGTCAGGCTGAGTTCACACCCCATGGTAAGCCGCTTCAAATCAAACTATGTTACACTAATCTAGTCTGTTATGCATTTATTTTTGGAACGAATCTTCTCATTGCCTGCTTATGGAAATCCAGGCTGAAACTGATCCTTATGGCGGTGAGCTAGCCTAGATTCGCAGCGGCTCAGCTGCTCCTTTGAATTCAGCCAGGATAGGAAGAGATCTTTTGTGACCACCCCCCTCCACCCCACAGTGTAGATGTGAGAATGTAAGAAGAGTCCTGTAGCTGGGTCACCCCAGAGATCAATCTACCCCACTGTTTCTCA